TCTAAACGGCGTAAATGGGGAAAACAAGACAAATGGCGAAAATGATCCAAATAAAGTAAATGGTACGAATGAAAAGAATGATAAAACAAGAATCCATAGCATAAGTGATGCAAAGCATATGATTAGTGGTCAAAAAATTAAAGATATTGACAGTCAAGGTCGCCTCGTTGATAATATACTTTTTGAGAAAGGCGAGTTCATGCCATATGATCCCAGTCAGGAGCCTATTTTTCCTCCTGAATTGCAACTCAACACAAAATGGGATCGAGAAAGTGTTATATTTAAAGGCGAACGTGTTACCTGGTATAGACCGAGTACATTGCTTGAGTTACTTCAGCTAAAAATTGAATTTCCTGATGCTAAATTAATAGTCGGTAACACAGAAGTTGGTGTTGAAGTTAAGTTCAAACATTTTCTATATCCTGTTCTCATACATCCCATAAAAGTTCCCGAAATGGTCGAAGTTCGGGAGTCAAAGGAAAGCATTTACTTTGGAGCTGCTGTCCCGTTAATGGAAATTGATAAAATTCTGAGAGATCGCATTAAAGAATTACCGGAACATGAAACTAGATTTTTTCAAACTTCGGTAAACATGTTGCACTATTTTGCCGGTAAACAAATACGTAACGTAGGCTGCCTAGGGGGCAATATTATGACCGGCAGTCCTATATCCGACATGAATCCAGTGTGTACAGCAGGTGCTGTAAAGTTACATGTTGCTCGCCTCGAAAATGGAGAGATAAAAATACGTGATGTTCATATGGGGACGGGTTTCTTCACGGGCTATCGTAAGAATGTCATAGCTAGCAATGAGGTGTTAATAGGGGTACATTTTCCAAAGACTCTTGAACGTCAATATATGGTGGCTTTTAAACAAGCTAGACGCCGTGACGACGATATAGCTATAGTAAATGCAGCAATTAATGTATTTTTCAAGTCCAACACTGATCGCGTTGAGCGCATATACATGGCTTTTGGCGGTATGGCTCCCACAACTGTTTTAGCTCCACGTACCTCGGAGCTTATGATTGATCAAAAATGGGATCAAAACTTGGTGGAACGGGTTGCAGAAAGCTTGTGCTCAGAATTACCGTTATCCCCTTCGGCTCCGGGAGGTAATATCGCTTACCGCCGGTCGTTGGTTATCAGTTTGTTCTTTAAGGGTTTCTTAGCGATAAGTCAGAAACTCATAGACGCTGGCATTATTCCAGAAGACGTTGTACCCCCAGAAGAACGCACTGGTGCTGAAACTTTTCATACACCTGCTTTAAAGAGTGCTCAACTTTTTGAGCGCGTAAGAGAAGGTCAGCCTAAATATGACCCAATAGGACGACCAAAGGTGCATGTGTCAGCTTTAAAGCAAGCTACCGGGGAAGCTATATATTGCGACGATATGCCTCGTGCGGACAATGAATTATACTTGGCGTTAGTGTTAAGTACACGTCCGCATGCTAAAATTTTAAATATAGATCCTAGTAAAGCTTTAGCCATGCCAGGTGTTCATGCTTTCTTCTGTAGCAAAGATTTAACCGAACATGAAAATGAAGTTGGTCCGGTATTTCATGATGAACATGTTTTCGCTGCTGGCACCGTTCATTGCCAGGGTCAGGTCATAGGCTCAATAGTAGCTGATAATCAAAACATAGCCCAAGCAGCAGCCAGAGCCGTCAAAATTGAGTACGAGGACTTGAAACCGGTAATAGTAACGATTGAACAAGCTATTGAACACCAGTCATATTTTCCGGACTATCCGCAATATGTGGAAAAAGGTAATATAGAGGAAGCCTTCAAAAAAGCAGACTTTGTTTACGAAAGAACGAATCGGATGGCTGGCCAGGAGCATTTTTATTTAGAAACCCATGCGGCATGTGCAGTGCCACGTGATAGTGACGAAATTGAGATATTCTGTTCCACACAGCATCCTTCTGAGGTACAAAAACTTATCTCTCATGTATTATCGATTCCAAGTCATAAAATCAACTGCCGAGCTAAACGGTTAGGGGGCGGTTTCGGTGGTAAAGAAAGTCGTGGTATATCTGTTGCTCTACCAGTCGCTTTAGCGTGCTACCGATTGCGTCGCCCAGTACGTTGCATGTTAGATCGTGATGAAGACATGATGATTACGGGAACTAGACATCCTTTTCTGTATAAGTACAAGGTCGGCTGTACTAAGGAGGGTCTTATAACTGCTTGCGATGTCGAACTATATAATAACGCCGGATGGTCTATGGATTTGTCGTTTTCGGTTCTACAGAGAGCTATGTTTCATTTTGAAAATTGCTATAAAGTTCCTAACGTAAAGGTGGGTGGTTGGGTTTGCAAAACCAATTTACCATCAAATACAGCTTTCAGAGGATTTGGTGGACCACAAGGCATGATTGTTGGCGAGCATATAATACGTGACGTTGCTCGCATTGCTGGCAAAGATCTAATCGAGGTAATGAAATTAAATTTCTATAAGACAGGTGATATTACACACTATGATCAAATTCTGGAGACATTCCCCATAGACCGATGCCTTGACGATTGTCTTAGGCAATCACACTTTTATAGAAAACGGCGTGAGATTGAGGAGTTCAATAAAAAGAACCGTTGGCGCAAACGAGGCATATCGGCGGTGCCAACAAAATATGGTATAGCCTTCGGTGTATTGCATCTTAATCAAGCTGGATCCCTAATTAATATTTACTCTGACGGTTCCGTTCTACTATCGCACGGTGGTGTTGAAATTGGTCAGGGCTTAAACACAAAAATGATACAATGTTGCGCTAGCTCCCTGGGAATACCTATAGAAATTATTCATATTGCCGAAACATCTACCGACAAGGTGCCGAATACATCTGCTACTGCAGCTAGTGTCGGCTCTGATATTAATGGTATGGCTGTTTTGGATGCGTGCCGAAAACTTAATGAACGTTTAGAACCCATTAAGAAAGCCAATCCCAAAGGCACATGGGCCGAATGGATTAATGCAGCATATTTTGAACGTATCAGTTTATCAGCAACTGGTTTTTATAAAATGCCTGGAATTGGTTGGGATCCGGTCAAAAATCCTAATGCTCGGATGTACTCATATTATACCAATGGCGTCGGTATAGCCATGGTAGAAATCGATTGTCTTTCCGGCGATCATCAGGTGATTAGTACAGACATTGTTATGGATATTGGATCCAGTATGAATCCAGCTATTGACATTGGTCAAATTGAGGGGGCGTTTATGCAGGGCTACGGTTTATTCACTCTGGAGGAAATGATTTATTCCCCTCAAGGTATGGTTTTTTCACGTGGTCCCGGCACATATAAATTACCCGGTTTTGCCGACATACCTGGCGAATTCAATGTGACTTTATTGACTGGTGCAGCTAATCCCCGAGCTGTATTTTCTTCGAAGGTAAGAGAATATTTATTCGTCTCTATAGATAAGAAGAATATCATATTTCAATTATTTGCAGGCAGTTGGTGAGCCTCCTCTATTTATTGGTAGCGCTGTATTTTTCGCAATTAAAGAAGCTATCGCCTCTGCCAGGGAAGCTAATGGCTTAAGTAAAGATTTTGACTTACCGTCCCCTGCCACTTCAGCTCGTATACGTATGGCTTGCGAAGATAAATTTACAAAATTGGTACATTTTGATATCACCTAAAAAATCGTTATTATAATTTTTCGTTTCGAAAACTTTTTCATTTCTAGATCGACATGCCGCCGGTGGGCAGTTACACACCCTGGAATGTTGTGCCATAAATGATTGAAACTTTTTGCTTTAAATATTATATTAATTACATTCATACATATATATATTTTACTATATGCTATCAATCAATTGCCCTTTTAACGAACAAATAAAATTTTTGGTATAAAGTAGAGTAGTTTTTATATATATATATATATATATATTTTTTTTTTATAAAATATTTCTCGACGTACTCGCTTGTTCGTCTGTATCGATTGATGCCTCTGTTGGATCATTATTGTTTTCTGTAACAATATTTATATCATTTGGTACAGGTTCGTACGGTTCGTTGTTTCTGAAAAAGTTGATCGAGTAAAAACAATGAAAATAAATAAAAATTATTAGTTTATTAAAGTTTTATATAAAAAGTTTTGGACAATTAAAACAAAATAAGGGAGCAGCGTTTAAAGCTTAGTTAATATATAATTTTCTCAATAAATTTTAAGCGATTCCTTTAACTATATTTCGGTGTAAGCTGTTCAAGCATTGACAAGAACATGTTGAAATTGTCGCTATTTACAGGTCTTTCGAAGCGAATGCTTTGATCTCGAACGGGAATTATTTGCTTGATTTCTAAAAAGTGTATATTATATCCTACACCTCATGTGGTGAGCGGGTATATGAAGTTTGTGTATACAACACTCGAAAAAACTTATAGATAGATTAGTGTCTTACTAGCCTCATCTGTCCATCTAGCAGTCTTGTTTTTTTGCGTTCAACCTACGGCAATGCCAAGATATTTTCATAAAATATGGTAAAACGACATGTTTTGGCCCAAAGACGAACACTATTAAAAAAAGTCCGAATCGAACCACTTTCTTGATCATTTGCTATATAACGTCTTATATTTATTTATTTAAATTCTTACAACGCAAAATAAGTTAAAATGTATTATAGAGAAGAAAAATAACTAAAAATAAACATGAGATCAACATACATGGAAAGTAACCTTTTTTCAAACAGATATTAAAAATATGTTTAAGGAGAGAGCATAGGAAATCAGCATAATGTTGGAGAATTGCAGATGGAATGCCATCGGAACCACGATAATTACAAGGTTTCAACGTTGACAATGGTATAAACACTTCCTCTCCGGAAAAATGCTTAAATCGATTTATGATTTGAAGCTGATCAAGAATATATATACTTTATGATGTCTCTGATGCTTGCTTGCGAGTTGGTAAAATGAAAATATCCCCCATGTGATGGGTGTAAAAACAAAAGGGATTGATTATTGCCCTTTAAAGAGCATCGTGATGAGAACTGGAAAATTTATTGCCTACGCAAACGTAAAGCAAACGGAAAATTCAATGACTAGAACGTACACGTCCAAGCTTAAAAAAGGGAAGGAAGTCTTGTTTGTTTGTGGAAAATGAGTCTAATCCACGATAAAGACGAAGAATAATAATTATTTCATTTATACGTTATATAGCGCCAGTGTATTTATATATGTATCAACATGGATCAATCACGCAGGGGATGTCCCCTATTCGTGTCACACACGGTGATGGCCGGAAAGAGGCGATTAAAGAGGAAAAGCATGGTGTAGCGTTAACCTGGTGCACGTCTACCCAATCGGTTTGTGTTATGTCGTTACGAACTGAGTATTTTGTGGCTACGATTGGCTAAGGCAAACGCTATCACACTTGAGATTTGAATCCACTAACAAAGGCTTGATAGTCGATATTCTTACCTATTCGTCTACTCATGCGGAAAGTGTATTGAAAAATGTTGAAGAAAAAGCACAAAAATGCGATATAAAATCTAATAAAAAGATTACTTAGACGAAAAACTGGAATCGACACGTCACGTCAAGTCGTCGCTTTTCGTAAAAGGTCGGATTTTAAAGGGCGAATACCATCAAAGATATTCTTAAGGGTATCGGTTAAGAGAATCGCTTGCATTTATTTGCAATGAGAGATTACTCTCGTTTGCCCATTGTCACACCATGCGGATGCATTAGCTTTGAATAACCACGAATGCTTGAAAATGCTACCCGTGAATATCTTTGTTCGACCATCAAACAAATAGCATCATTCAGTGGATTGGAGAATTGAGGCCGACTTGCATATAACGGCAGTGAACTACTGAACATACTGTCATGATTGCTTCAATAGATAGCAATAAGTCAACAAAACAATTAATTAAGAGAAATGCGAAAAATCCGAAGATTAGAGAAACATATGAAAACATATCTAAAAATTCGAAAACAATTGAAAAACAATGTGATAACGTTTTATTGTTTTTTTTTTTGGCTTTGTTTTGGCTTATTTTTTTGCTTTTTTCAATTGATAAAAATAAATTTTATTTACAAAATATAAAACATTAAAAAAAAATATATATTAACAACTTTATCAAGGAATTTAAAAAAAATTTTAATTATTACAAATTAGCTTAAAAATTGAAAAATTATATTTCTATTATACTATAACTTATATTACATTAGGGAATGTGAGTGAGTACAGGTAGGTAGGGTCGTACAATTGAAAGTTAAGCTATTTCTCTTTCTCTAATAGGACTTGAGCGTGAAGCTGGAGAATATTCGGATACCGTAGTTTCGCTAGATGTTGTCTCGGTCGCATGTCTACAAAAAAAAAAAATATATATATAGTTTTAGATTCCGTAAAATGTAATGAAGACAAATATTTTGAGTTACGTGCAAGACAAGTAAAATGTCAAATTAAAAAAAAAAATATATATATATATATATGTATATATATATATGCATATATAAAAACAGGGTAAATATCTAAGATCTCTGAGCGAAAGTTTCCTTTTCATGGAATGTTAGTAAATGGATGAACACAGGGGCACATTATTAAGAACAATATGAACGCATGTTATTGAAATTTATGTGAATGGGTGTAATATAGGACTGGATAGGACTGGAAGGTGCTCAACAGGCAGTATAAGAAGAACACATTATTGCAAATAAATTCCGCCTCTTTTCTAATCGAACTTGAACACACTTGCAACCGTCATTTAGTGATCTACTTTGAAAATTTTTGTGATTATCATTACTATTACTCTTATTATAAACTCAATTGCTTTCATTGCAGTTGAATCCCTAAAGCATAAAGACATATATCACGAAGAGTTCAACAAAGATAAACGCGGTTTAATATAACGATGCTCAGCGCAAGTGGAATAAATTTCGCGTTACTATTCGCCGCCTCAATCTTCAAATAGAGGATAAGCTATATCTATCTTTGATTTTGTATGTGCCATGTTCCTTCCCACTTTCGTACTTTCTGCAAAGCCCTTCCCATATTTTTCCAAAATCCTAAGGTTTTTATAGCATTCTTTTAATTGAATATTATTATCCCATACATAATTTGTCGTACGGGTATACTAAGTTTATGCAGATATATATAGCAGCACCCATCATAAGTTGAGATAAACCCAGCTTTCATTACAACGATCAAGCTGAGCTTGCTTTTGGTGTTTAACCTACAGGTCGCTATTTCGATGAAATTTACTACACTGACATGTTTTGGCTCAAGGGCAAAGATATTTTTTTTTTTTTTTTTTTTTTTTTTTTTTATAGATTTGAATAATTCTTAAGCATTCAAGAAAGATATAAAAAGATGATGACGAACTTGGCAACTATACTGAACGGACGGACGGATATACAAGCAAACTTAGCGAAACCGATTGACAAACTCGTCTAGATTTGCCACACACGTGGGATCACTTCTACGTAAAATAAGGTTAGCATAAATAATATCCTAAACTGGTTGGTATATGTAGACAAAAGAAATGACTTAAGTGTTTCTTTATTAATTTTCCTATCTAAAGAAGCGGATTTATATCGTTACATACTAACATCTTAATGAATAGGTTCTTAATGGATTTCAGTTGTTTTAATTACCAATCCGTTTGTGCCGTAAATGACATGCATACCGCTATATACAAATGCAAAATGAAATATGAATACAAAAATGTACATATATTTCATGTAGATTGGCTTACTTCCGGCTATAGATTACATAAGCACTAATAAAGAAAATTCATTAAAGCCTTTCGTTAACCCACCTGTAAAATACGTAATGTTGCAGCATAAAGAAGACATCAAATAGTACAGAAAATAAACCCAGACCGAATTTCGTTGGATCACCGAATATTGAAGCCCAGTCATCTAAAGAAAGAGATTTGTTTTTTTTTATTTTTTTTTTAGAAACAAAAAATGTATTAACAGTATTTTATCAGATGTTACACAACAGTAATTTTCTATATTAAGTAGTCTAAGCAATATTGAATCCATTAGAGACATATATGAATTAAATGGAAAGGACATTTCCAAGTCAAAAACTGAATATATCTTGCATAACCTAGTATTTAATAAGATTTTTCAGCTTATGAGCACAGCAAGTACTTACTGCAACAAAACAAACAAAATGAAAAAAATAATTCGACTAATTTGCCTTCGTGAGTATGAACCCGTATGAACAACTTATGCAAAATTTGTAGCTCAAAATTCGCTTCTAAAGTTTGCTAATTATTGACATAAATGTATTGAAAACTTTACTTTTCTTCGTAATTCTTTTCAATTTTTTGTTCTTTACATTTTTTTTTTTTTCGTTTTTTTTTGCGAAAGTTGAGTTTTTAAAATTTTTACTTTTCCGTTAAAAATCTTATAAATTTGAAAGTTTTATTAACATCGTGTTAAGGTAAGGTAAGGTACTCGGTCGTGTTTAGTCAGAGTAAGAGGCTGCTTGGAAATGTACTTGTTTTATTCATTCATATCCATATATGACAAAGTAAGGGAATATATTATTTTCCTGACGATAAATATAAAACAATACTTTTTTTTTTACATACCATAATTGTAAGCATTTAAAATCATTTGCATCATACTTAAGGTACCACCCGTAAAGTCTAGTAAAATGGTACCGATGCTCCAGCCAACCGTACTTTTGCGGCGATAATTCATCAAAGCCTGTAAGTAACCGTAATAAAGAGTTATGTTGCTTATAAAAAACAATAAATGAAATATGTTTTAGTGTGAAGAGCAAGGCGCAGACTAAGTTATATTTTCAAGGACGGGCTATTAACCGAAGGATGAGGGACGTATTCATTTTATCAAAACGTTTGCAATGCCTAGAAGGAAGGTTCAGACGTCCCACAAAGTATATGTTTTCTTAATCAGCATCAAATTCAGAATCAATTTGAGTATGTCCGTCTGTCTGTCTGTTTAATGTTTATTGTTAACATTCTTTTGGTCGCAAGAATATCAAATTCGACAGAAACATTCAAAGTTCTTGCGCGCAGATTAGTATTAAAATTGAGCCAAATCGGTTGAAGGGCAAGCCTATAGTATTAAGTAAAAAATTCCGTTTTTCCAAAGGAATAAAAAGTTACCTTCTTGCTCATTACTCATGAACTACAGCAAATGGACAAAGTGGACAACAATTTGAACGTGTAATCTATGGGAAAATGAAATATTTGATCACGCGTACTCAATGTTACGGTATATGGAAGTTTCCTCAGCAGTCTTTATAACGCCTACAAACAAGGTTCCCTTAAATTGGTGTCAAATTTCGAATGCACATAAGCATATCCCAAAGCCGTTTTTTGCTAACCTACCATATTTTAAAAAATTGTTCAAAATAGTTTCCGGAAGAAAAGATCGAATTTTTTTTTGCTCTTCCGACACATACTTTTTTATATAGGTTCACGTGACATAATTTAGATTTTATCCTTTTTTTACGGAATGTATCCTATACGTGTAATACAATGATATTCGCAAAAAAAGAAGGAAAGGAGGAATAAGATAAGCCGAGGCCGTAAGCCGATCGGTGCGTGCCCAATCTATATAATGGCGTAATGTCTTCCTTCAAATTAATAGTTAATATATATAAAATATATATATATATAAATATATATATAAATTAAATATTCTAGAGTTTATCTATAATTGAAGCATTTCTTCTTCACTTACCTGAGGCACATATTTGATTATGGTGATTGTCAATTTAATATAACTGCAGTAATATAAAAAGTCCAACCAATGTATCACATTTGCGAAAGCTAAACTAGCGGAAATAATCACAATAAGAGCAAATAAACTCAGCAAAGCGCTAGCAGTTTTTGAAACACTTTGTTTACCACGCTGCAGAATAATGATTATATGAGAAAAATGCATAAAAATAATGATGCGATAAAAAAAATTACTTACTTCGTATATAAGGCACTGAGCGATCGTTATGATCGTAGCAAAGGCGGCATGTAAGGAGAACACAACATCGTTTAACAAGACGGGATTAAGACCGCGGGGATGACGTAACGCATATTCGGCTTGAATTGCAGGTATCCAATATAAGCCGCAATTGAAGAGACTGTACAAAGCGAAGCCGACAATATTTAGATAAACGAAATCGAAATTCAAGCCAATAACCGATTGTCGTCGGAAATTCGTATAGATTTGTGGATAGAACGAAACAGACCACGCTATAAAATAAATCCAACCGAATATAAATGCTATATAAATAATACTTCGCGAATTGGCCACAGTGATGCGTACAAAAAGTTCCTGAATACTGGAGAAAGAATAAAAAATTTGATATTAAGAAGAAAAATTAAATATAAATAAATATTACAAAAAAAAGTAATCAAACCTACATCCAAGTTTCGTTTGGTTGACTTTCGGCACCAATAACCAAATGGCCGGGATTTAGGCCAGTCACTAATACGGTTACATTTTCAGTTGTGTTAGCTTTGAATATGTGTTCGGTTGGTGTCAATTCAACTAAGTTTTCATGTTGAGTTAACAGTTTCGTTTCAACATCCTGATTAAAGGGTTCTCTAAGTAAATCAAACGATTTATTTTATTTTAATAATATTTAAAGGAAAATATTATTATCCATAGAAAAAAACTTACAAAAGTAAAATATCAAAACTATCGCTACCGTTTACTAGCACAAGAATATCATGATTTGATACTGTTAGACCAGTATGATTTAACGCCAGCGCTATTTTCTGAAAAACTGAGATCAAAATTTTCGATAACATTTTTAAGAAAAAGAAAAAAAAAAAAAAAATATTTATAGCTCACCCAGTATTAAGATACATGAAAAATAAATGCAAGTTTGAAAAGATCTTGAATTAAAAAATCGCATATTGACGTTTATTGTCAAGAGATTGTTTCCTGTATATATACGCAAGTGTTAAATGATCTCAATCGTACGCTTTCATAGTCAAAGTAATCAACTGTAAGTGGATTAAGAAGAAAAAACATTTTAGTTAGTATAGCAATATCCATATTATCAATCAAACAGCAAAGAACCGAAATCTTAGATCAAAAAGTTCCTAATTTGTGACATGGATATCAAATCTTAATTTAAATCTTAAGTAATAATCCTTAACTACGTCAGCTTCCAGATCAATTCCAAAACAATACCATGCAGTCATCACATCACCAACCCTAACAGCCTACCAAAAACCTTTTTTTGCTCATTTTTTGCATCAAGCGTTGCACCCTGTGAGACGGCACTCTGAAATATCAGGAAGGCATGTAAACGACTAGAGGTTTTTGGACACGTTCGATACTAAAATGTTTATGATAACGCCACAGAGTTTCTAATTGCCCTGGGAAAAATACCGTCTCAAAATATTTCTATGATTGTCCCCGGCACAACTATCATTCCTTCAAGCAGCGGGTTTTCATTACAGTACGGCTTATAGAGAATAAATTCCGCTTCGATTGGTTTCCTCCGCCGAAAAGGCAAGATATGCAGACATGCTTGGAATTTAACATGGATGCCGGGTTGGAACTTTAATTCCATGGTAACGGATGACACATGGATGGACAGTTACCGCTTAACCCGATGCTATGAAAAAAATTCAAAAGTGTTTGCCACATTTTTTGATAAATCCTGAGATTAATCAATCTTATTTAAAGATAGTGTTAGTTCTCTTGGGGATCTGGCGCATTCCACCTTCTCAAACTCCTAAACTCTCTGGAGAAATGAAGGGTGGGTGTTGCTGTGAGTTTTTTGGCTAAGCTTAAGCAAAGTCTTCATTCTCACTGAATAAGTTTGACTTCACTGCCACGTGTCGAGTCTCTATCTCGTTGTCCGTCTAACTATGAAATGAATTCTCCTACACGCCTCCTCTGTAAACTCTTTAATCATTTATTTTCCATTTCCGATAGAAATGAGTATATGACGCGTACATTACTTAATCGCTAACGTTATTGTGAGTTGCTAAGCGTTGGTGTTGTTGCTGTTATTTTCGTTTATCTTCCTTTTGCCGGTATATGTTCACGAGTAAGTGTTATAAGGCATAGATTAAGTTATTCCCTATCTTTTTTTTCACTTATAATATATAGATTTTCTTATGAGCCATAATAATATGTAGCTGGTAATGACTAAATAAATAAGATCTACGTATATAATTAAATTTTTTGTAATATTTCGTAATTGTAACTTCCAACGGATTGCTACAATTAATATGCTCCTTGAACTTTAGCAGAGCATTTGATTGCGTAAGAATTCATTTCCTTTTCTTATTATCAATTGTCTACAGTTACAGTATACTCCAGTCTTGTGGTCATTCCTAACTTTCATCATTATTAACACGCAACGCATATCAATTGTTTCGCGATCATTCAATAAAAATGTACCGCTATCTTGTTAACAAAATCAATTAAGCTTAATAAGATATCTTATTGGCACTTGTTGTCTCTCATAAATTATTTTTTATTAATTTTAATAAGGCGTTTTAAATGTATAATAAAAGTAAAATGCAAGTCATCCTGCACGGCTATGTGCACATAAAAAAGGTCGAATTCATTTAAAGTACAATTTTTTTAAAAGAAAGTAATTGAGTTTAAATATTTTTTTCAAATTGTTTTCGATAAATTTGCACAGATTTCTCTAAAACTAATCACTCGCCGAAGAATATTTGCATATAATGCCTATCAACAATAGAAGTTTCAACTACGCCTTTTCCTACTATGCCCTCCCCATATACCTAAGCGGCTAAATTAATAATGCAAGATTTTAAAGACTGAACGTAACCTCCTTTAAGACGTGTCAAAAATCTGCATTTACATATTGTCTCTGAAAATTGTCATAATTCCATCTGTACATACCAGCCTTTCAGTGCTTGTACGATCAGTAGCAATAAATCAGTTTTTTTGGTTTTGTGATCATAATCAAGGGTTTAATTCGCCTTATATGTGCGTGCTACCTAATATTTTTTCATTATAATCTACACTACGTATACCGCAAGGTGTAAACGGGCGTAACACCTAGAAGGGTTTAAGATAGACCCACCTTTTGTGATATTCAAAATTATTTCGTAAATCGAGCTTGTCTATCCGTCTCTTCGTTTGATGTGTGTCCAATGTACTTTTGTATTAAATCTATAGGTCGTAGTCGAACGCTATTGGAAATGACTCGGGTCGGTCTACTTTTTCGATCCTTCCCCGTATAATAAAGTAAGCCCTTATATGGGCAGGTGATATAATTTTTGGTTTTCTATGACGGAAACTGAAAAATAAAAATATTTTTGGGAAATAATTTAGATTGGCTAAATGCGGACCATATCATGTGATCCTCTAATGTGCATTATTATCAAAATGGGCGAATAACTGTATAAAGCGAAGTGGTATACGGTACCATTAACTACCGGTCCTGTCCGTCTATAATGTTAGATCCTTTACATCTGTTACGAATATATAATGTGAAATTTGTTATAAAAAAGTCCCTGTATGGGAAGTGATCAAAAAAATAAATCCGATCTGAATCGTTTTCAATAGCGTTTGCATTAAAATAGCATAGAAATTGCGACAACTGGCGCACAAACAAGCTTAGATCGATTCAGAAAGTGATTCCGAATCGATTAGTATAATAAAAGCTGGGCTTATTTCAAGTCCTTCTGCGCGCTGTGCGCATCCAAACAAACTTAATATACGCCTGTACCACAAAGGGCAGGGTGCAAAGGCAAATGTTCATTTTATATTGACACAGGAATGAAAAGGAATGACTGACTGAATTTCCTTCTGCAAATCGCTGCTGCTACTATAAGAAATCGGGCCACTTTTGAAAGACTTGATGACGGACGATAATCAGTAGATTACTAACGGGAATAATGAGCGAAATAGATCGCGGTTCAAGTTGGATGAACTGTCGCAAACGATGGCAAACGCCTAGCTTGACTCCTGGTAATATGATATTTTGTGTTTTTTGAGAATCAATATAATGCTGAATATAAGAAAATTTGCACTGCCTACGAATGCGATTTACTAGATTGAAAGTGCGGTATTTTGTTGAGGTAAAATTAATTAAATCCCCTTAAGATACTTAAAACGAGTTTTTTGTGCTAAATATGACACAATATAGTTTACTTTAGTTAGGGAATTTACTAAAAACGCAATAGCGGTTAAAAATGTATAATTTTATAAATTAAGTCATGTAGAACTAAAATACTTAAGTGTATACCTCGGATATGTGCGGCGTACTACATAAGCAGATGAGTTAAAGCAATAAACAAAAAATCGATATTAATAAGAACAGCACTGCTTTGTCACTTATATGCACAGTAAAGTTAAATATAAGAAGACTTGCTAGTAGACAAATGAAATATTCGCTTAATACATTCAGGTCATTGACTATCAAAGCAAAAATTGTGGCAGTTCTTTTACCTAGCGATAAATTTGGTTCTTTCAACTGAAGAAAATTATATTTAACCGATCCAAAAGAAGGAATAATGATAAATGTAATCTGCATAGAACATAAAATCCTTCAAATTTTTCGAATATACAAAATATTTCTTCCTCTTCTTCCGCAAAATTTTATCAATATATAATTATTCACGATTTACATCGTTTTCTAAGTGTATATATATATATATATATATATCTTATCTTTTAAGATTGAGTTAAATATATTTATTTAGAACACAATATAGATAGATCGTCATAAGCAGTTATAAGAAAGATTTTGAAATTGCCGAAGAAGGAGAAGAAGAAATATTTTGGATTTTCGAAATACTCCAGTTTTACTTGGCATCGTGAAAAATAAATGTCCGACACGACATATACATATATCATCTTTTTTAATATGCCTAACCGCCCAAAGGATGTCTCCATAAGTGAAAAACGATGACGCTAAAAAAAGATTTGGGAAAAGAGAAACATCAAGGGAGTGTAGCCGCACTTTATATTGTCGGTAAGCGTTACACCCTTTACTAGCGAAGCACACAATGTAGCTTCGATCAAGTGTCGCCTACCGCATTGAAATTGGAATCTGCGAACATCGAACTAATAGTGATGACCCTTCAGTACCTATCTGCACTGCAGCTCATATCTTATATCTAAGCTTGCCTTGTCACCTTGACCCCGTTTCCATTACTTATCTCAAGCGTTTCGGCTGTTGATCAGATAGACCGATTTAGAAGTTCACACTAATCACAAGAGACTACTTATTTATGTATACGTGAAGAATGTAGAAAACTTGAGTTATTAAAATTTTTACATCCATTCTCTGTAATGGCCGCAAACTGGGTTTTGAATTATTAGAATAAATTTCAACCATTAATAGATCTGGGACATATTATACTTTCTTAAATAGCGACTAGTACGTGGTTACATTCATTTATTTTTGTTCCATTTTTATATTCATTTTATTCATTTTTGGCATACTATTATATATATCTTATCAAATATATTAAAGAATCGGCATAAAAATCGCCAAATTTTTCGTAAAGACAAAAACATTGGGTTATGCATGGTTGACTCATTTCATTCCAGTAAATAATAAATAATTCGATAAATACTTTGAAATAATTTATTTTTCAAGATTATTTCCGGATTGGCCAACATTAAATGGATTAAGACTGGGTCTAATAAACTCGAGTTTAACGAAAATAGAACAATTGTCAGACAAGCTATCGGAGAACGGATTCAACAGAGAACGGACTAATCAAAGTTGTGCCTATTATCAGTTGATTCGAAGAAACGATTTTTCTCTGTGATCATTACAATGGCGTTCCTTTATATATCGAATTGTTCATTTTAGAAAGTATTTACTGTACATATGCGTATGTACGTAAACAGACCTATAGAGAGAGTTTATGTTACAAATGAAAGCAAAAAAAAAAAAAATCTTTCCTTAGGGTCACTAACTGGAAAGTTTTCATAAAAGTTAAAAATTACATAAACCGATAAAGAACAAAAACAAAAAAGTGCATATTTCCTCACGCGAAGGTATGAACTTTAAAGTGAGAAGAAATGACTGATTTGGGTAACACATTTAAATCTGTGTCATTCACATTCAGATTCAAATGTTTCGTTAATAAGCTTTTTAAACGATTTATGAAATACATGTGCGATTAGTTTTGTCATAAATTATTATATAAAAATTAAATACCATAAAAATTTTAATTCAATTTTAATATATTAGGGCGTTGGAAACGTTGTGGCACATTTACATAATTAATAGACATATTTCGTTTTAGTTTATTATGATGTCATTTGTAATTATTATTAGAATTCAAAGTCAAGCGATTTCTGATAAAAATACATTATATGTCATCCTTTTAAAGACTATCGTGACCACTTTGCTATACGCATCCGTTAAGCCAAGTAATATCTGTTAGACATTAGCTATACATTTTTCATATACTTAACGGAATTTGTTATCCTCACTTCAAAGCAACCCATTAAGCCTTTTTCTTTACTTTTACACTGATGGGCCAGTAAAGCAATTAATGATCCTAGGTAGGGTATTTTTCGATAAGCGCGAGAATATCTCCTCAACAGTTATAAGGGAGTGAAGAAGTGAAAGGGCTAACTTTCATGCATTCAGCGTAGCCAGTCAGCTTTCCTGCAGCCAAAGTGTCTACCTTCGCTCTAAATAAGGCTACCAATGTATCAAGTGCCATCATACCAAACTTTATCTACCACGCTGCTTATCCTAACCTTAACCTTAACCTTAACCTAAAAAGAAGAGATTAAGTCGCTTCGAGATAGGTGGAAAATGTCCCCTACTTTAAAAAGTATTCTAACATAAATGACTTGAGACCCTGCGTTTGATCTGTAGCGAACATCGATTCATAATATTTTTCATAATTTTATTTAAAATTACAATTTAAGTATTCTATGTAATAACTAATAGATCTTAATTAGGTCCCAGCTGCAAACTTTCGAATCAATAAAAACTTGTAGCATTTTTGTATTTATTTATCTAAAGATTTTCTCATGCGCGACTTTCCTCGTCCTAACTTTCCTATCATCCTATTTCTTTAGAAAGGTAGAAGTAACGCGCAATAAGTGCGTCAAGCTAAAAAAAAACAAAATTACTCTATAAGAAAATGAGACCTAAAGATAGCAAATAAACGTTTATACTGACCGTCATATTAATAGCACATCAACCTCAGACATGTTGGCTCAGCTATATTAAGTGCAATATTAACAAAATTTTGAGCGAATTAAATTTTTCTGCTCAACATCACAATTTCTAGAAACTAAAACATACATACATCGAATGCATGAATATGTGCGCTACGTTTTACTCAACGCCCCTATTGATATCATATTAAAATAATTAAACAGTTTTTTTTTTTTCCACATTAATATTTGTAAAGACATGCGAACGTTTCAATTTATGCATGTGCATATCAATTCATGGTGTGCGCCGGAATATGTTAAACAAAAAATTTATTGTTAATAGCGGATTAAGTAACAGAATGTCGCTAAATCATCGCGGTTTCAAATATGAGATTAGTTTTTCATTTGTTTACTTTATACATATATAGCAACAAAAAGCAAAAAAACAAAAAGCAAAAAACAAATTGCAAGAATTGCACTCGATTTACAACGAACTTTTCGATACCTACGACTTATGTATCCTTCTTTTGTAATTACCTTTGAGAACTAGAAGAAAGCAAAAATATTTTGCGTTCAAACATAACATGCTTTGGAAGCATGAACTAAATGCCACACTTAGTGTCTTAGAACGTCCCACGAAGGACATATGCTAACATAAAAAATGGATTATAAAACAATTCATAAATACCTCAGATTATTCAGATTCGAATTACGAAAAGTCCTAAACGACTAGAAGCCATATTTTCTCTCTCTCTCTCCCTCGGTATCGGTATCTTAAGCATCACTTAAATATTGCAAAATAGTTTATCAGCTTCGCGTCACTTAGCCGAATGGGATATCTTCACTTTTAGTTCTTCGCTGGATTTGGAAAATGTTCAATGCACAGTAGGGTGGCGAGAAAGTTCTGCCGGATTTGTTGCTTGCCAGGTGAAGGCAAATAGATAGAAATTATTTAGCGGGATGTTAAAGAACTACCATGATTAGTCACTTTCGAAGTGCATAGCATTTTGGGCGATGAGTCTTGCGAGACCTAATCACACCCATTTGTACGTCGAAATCCTTGTAAACATTTGCACAAAATTTTAAATTAATTTCTACTGTATATAACATATGGGTGATAACCTATATTTAATGGGTGCAAAGACGTGCCGAAGCTGTCATTTCCACGTAGTGATGCTGGACAACGATCATTGACCGGCGAAGAAGAGTGTAAGGCTTGATTATCTCTAACTAAATACAAACTAACTGAAGCAAGACCACTTCAGTTGTAGAGGGCATGGAGCAGCTCAGGTCAGCTGCATACGCCGATGCGTATATATATCTTGAGAAAGGATAATTTGAATTTGGCTAACCGGGATTGTATGGTAGATCCAAAGGAGAGCGTGATTTCGCTTAAAGTAATGCTAAAGGCTCTATAGCTAAGCTTCACGGGGGTCAGGCGCCACTTATTATCTATCTATATGTAGAGGAACTTCTTATATGCGGAATCTTGTAGACTTGTGACTGTTGGAAGCTGCCCTTTGGAAATTATATGGTTTCGATCATTCCATAAAGCGTATAATTACATAATAGATAATAGGCCTCAACATTTCCCAGAGTAGATTTATTTGGTCGTACCTTTTCAATCAATCTGATACTCCAGTTGCAGTGGGCGAACTTAGTTGTGAGGTTTGTGTTACTCACGCATAAATAACGCATTTGTCAACGGGAACCGTGTAAGCTTTCACGTTAAACTACTAGAAATGTCTGTATATAGTATGGAACTCTCTTTTTATTAGTTGCTTCCTGTTGAGGATGATTTTTAAGTCTAGAAATTAAGGACAAGAGTGTAAATTTATGGCCTTTTATTCCAATTCTTACAAACTGAGAGCTTCAAACGTAGATCGTCGCTTAATTTTACCTACATTGATCAAGACAATAGGGAAGCGGTTCACAAGCTTGCAAGAGCTCTCTTAAGCTTTGGACGAGAGAACAGAATCCATCGATGATTCTTCAAATCTTTAATCCATTGAGAATTGTTTCTCTTGGATTTGGACCCACAAATAGGTTAGTCAATTTCAGTTCATCATTTTCAGTAATAATTTTAAAAAATATAATCGCTCATAAGGATTCCAACGTTTATCGATATGCGCTATGGATCTCTACACACAAATTTAATATATCTTTCTTGCGGTAGAGCATAAGAAAATAAAAACGAGTAAAATCGGTTCTCTTATCAACGTGCGAAATAAATAATAATAATAATAATAATAGAAAAAAAATAATAGGAAAAAAACAGGGGAATACCAATAGATCAGGTCAAACTTTTATTGCTGCCTGGCTATAGTACAACAACCAAAAGGAAGCTTCAGAGAGACTACAAAGCGCATGTATTCTCAATTAGGATCGGTTTAGCCGTGTCTGTCCATCTGTTTGGTGTGTCTTGTTGATACTCTTCTGGTCGCAAAAATAAAAATGACTTCAAATTTGATGGAAACGTTGGAAATTCTTGCACACCAGGTCGCTTCGAAAATGAGCCAAACGAGTTAAGGGACACGAAGCCTGTTGGAGCGTATGAAAGAAAAGAATTTTCCTACATGTTTGCTTAAAGTTCTAAAAAAATTTGATAACCTTAATAATTCGAATGACAGGCAGAAGAGCTAAAATGGCAGAAAGCTATCTGCAATCTTATGAGGATCGAAAATATATACATTTTAGCGTACATGTATGTGTTACAATAAATAGCAAACCTACATATAGATGTGAAAAATTCTTTTTCACCAAAATGAACTGATTACTTAATAAATTGCAGTTCCGGTTTACCTGTTGCCTTCCTTCACTTCACAGAGATTCAACAAAACACAAAGCACTGACTGTTTACGGCAGACGTTTACTCTAAACTGTTTATCATTTATTATATGTATGAAAGAATAAAAATCAACGGAAAATGTTGATGACAAAAAAACATGTTTTGGTTTTTTCTTAATTTGATAAAATATATGTATATATATACACACAACACATATATATGAATGAATGCCTTACGAATGCCAAATCGATCAACTCTTCACGACGAAAAAGTAAAGATGGATGATAAACATTAAACATTTGATTGGTACACTTTTTCTTTGGCAGCGATACAAAACGATATTCATATCAATTTGCTTAAAAAGTGTTTTTGTTAAATAGTGTTTTAATTGATTTCAGAAATAAATTATTAGTATTAGGCAAATTGATTTGTCAATGAAAATGAAAAAAAGGAACAAAAAAAAAAAAAAAAACCGAAAATAGAGTTAATCGATTTGGCATATCAGCGGTTCATATATCGTGGTGATATATGCACTTTTAATGGGAATTTATATCATTGAAGAAATTCCATATTCCAAATATGTATATGCCGCCGTCACGTTATTTATTTATTTTTTTTTTCATGACTTTTTATCATCAACTTTTTTAAATAATTAGTTTAATAATAATTTCTTCTTAGAAATGGACATACAAACAAACATACGCACATAAATGCATTTGTTGTATCTATTCTCTTTAATCTGAGTTACAATTTAATTGAATTATTTCTTATTAAAATATGTTTTCATTCGAATGTATGTTTATTACGTATTAAGTTTAAAGTTATGCCTAATAAATGCGAATTTATCGAGTAATTAGGTCGAAGTTTTTTTTAACTTTGTCTTTATTTACTTACTCGTCGTCTGCTTATTGGATTTAGAATTCAGGTACAGAAAATATCATCATTATGAAGCTTTCAGCTAAGCTAACTTGAATTATAAAAAAATTGTAAAAAAGGCAAAATAATAAATAAATAAATAAACAAATAGTTATTTTACTTTACTCTGTCGCATTTAGATCTCCGTCCATAGTTGACTATCGCTAAAACTTAATAATCTCTCGAAAGAAATTATACTCGTTTCTAGCTATACTTTGCTATATAAATACATAAAAAAATGGCGAGTTTTTCTGGGGACTTTTCTCTGATTATAAGAAGTGTATTAGCCCCTCGTAAATATATCCAAGCTTGCAAGTTTAATTCGATAACTCTTTGTTGTTGGTTTGTGAACGCGCTTGACAGCCAGAACGACAAAGTAATTATCAAACTAAGTTAAGTTAAATCCCATCCCAGGTACACAAGTAATGCAACGAAATAATAATTATCTCTTTTAATATGGTGAAAGGTAAAATAAGATATGGATGGGTCGCAACGTTTCATACGTTCTACATATGACATTTGTTTATTGACTGACAGCGACAGATGTGGCATTGGTACACCGTCGCGAAAGAGTTAACTATATTAATAAAGGTCTATCAGTATACTTTTCATACTTTTCATGAAAAAACATTTTTTTTCAAGAATCTACATGCATGATCGCAGCATCGTATAGAGTTAGCTATTCATTCGGTCACTGTGTTTCCAACTTAAATTAGTAAACATATAAGTAATGCTAAAATGCCAGGGATTAGATATTGTTATTATGCTTTAATTGGCCTTCCAGACTTGATAATTTTATGAATTAATGAGTTAATGTAAATCAAAAATGCTTATATAAAGATTTCATTAGTTGCTGTACGTCACGAATCGTCGACAAATTCACTTCGAATATTTGAACATGAAACATTAATCAAAAAAAAATACATATTTCAAGATGAAGGATTTTATCTTATCTTTACTGGCTTTGAGAATGTATAGTGTGCATGCGCGAGGAATTGATACGCACACATAAAGACATTCGAGAATGTATGCGAGGAAATGCGGGCCGATAAAGATTTTGTTAAAGAAGCTCTTGGGTTGAGGGTTGACAAACGTGCTGCTCGGTAGTCAGACGTCTGCTCAGCCAGGTGCCTAAGCATTCACACGTAGCCCGTTCAACGATCCTGTGTATAGATGTACGTAGGCGTTTTACGTAGCGTGAAGGCTAAACATTACCTCTGCGCCCCACGGGGTGGTTACAGTGTGTCTGTGGAGATGCGTAAACGAGCTTATCTGCCTTTTTTTACGTCCGCAGACCGTAAAAGATTTTCTCACGGTTAAGGCTCATTGCAGCGACTACGAAACTGCTAAAAGTCTCAAAGGACAAACCTTTCGGTAGAGAGACGCCTGACAATCAGGCAACTGTAAGCTGACGGACTCTTGGGTAAATTGAAAACTGAGCAGACAAACGCATCTCGATAACAAGACAATAGAAGAAAGTCTTGTTGCGAAGTACGAATAGACAAATGCGTGGATAGCATATGAGCACAGAGATTTCTGTGTAGGGAGAGGTAAGGAGAGGTGCGGCAGATAGGCACGTAAGCTGATAAATATAAGAAAATTGAAACCAGCGAACAACGTAACTTAGCCTATAAGAAGCTTATAATAAGACAGACAACAAATTGGACTGACAGCCTAGCAGGCTGGAGAAAACCGATAGACTGATAGACAGGTGACTGCCTAACAGAAAAAACAAATCCCGCCGAAAATTTTGCGTTAAGCAAGTTCCTAAGTACTCGATTCACCGGTTGTTACCAATAGAGGGATGAACTTAACACAAAGTCAACTAACTATTGCTGTAGTGAGAGACTTTTCTATTTTAAATAATCGCAAATGATGTGCGCGTGTGTGAAGAAATTTTATAGAAAAAAACTCTAAGGATATTTTCCTCAAAACAATTTTTTCCAACTTAATCTACGCTAAACAAAAAAAAAAAAAACAAATTTAAACCAAGTAATTAATTTTGTTCTAAACGACTTATTAATCGTTTCCAAGAGTAAGTTAAAAAGAAAAACACCTGTATATGCAATAATAAAATATTTCAATGCTAAGAATGCAGTTAAGATTGTATTAAGTCATAGAAAGATTTGCTAAAATTAATTTAATAAATACTATGATAATTTTAACTAAATATTGAACGCCGCGAAAATTAAATGTTTCAGTTAAAGTATTTTAAACTAAACTAAAAAAAAAAGAAAAATCATTTTGGTAACAAACCAATAAATATATATGTTTTTTTTTTTAGTTTATAAAGAATTTAATTAACTTTAGATATATTGTTAGAATTCCATGAGATAATTATAATTTTTTCATGTCACGACAAGAAATTTTATAATCCACTATATACATATATATATATATATGTATATAATTTTTTTTTTTTTTTTTTTTTTTTTTATTGTCAAAAAGCCAAAAACGATAAGAAAATATTTTATAACATTTAAAAGAAAAGTATTCACGTTTATAAAACTATGTAAAATATAGATAGATAACTTTTCGTAAAATAAAGTAAATAATTTTGTTTAGCTATTCAATGGCTAATAAAGTAAAAGTAAATGTAAATGAAAAAATTTCAATATCACTCGTCTTACATATGTTATGAACGCCTTAACGTACTCGCGTTGACTGCTGGTTAATTGGAATTGAAAAATCGTATAGCCCAATGTAAAAACAGTCATGCAAACATATACATATCTATACACATACACACACACGCACTTATTCATATACTTACAGAGATATGATAGATTCAAATAACTAACTGACCAAATGCGATGTTCATCATAATGCACATATTAACGAAATGAATCAATGAATAGACAGACGACGACTTATTCTATTACGCTCACTACTGTTACTTACTTAATTAATAAAGATAGTTTAGTTTACCGGCTTTCGTGTTTATATTGCAATTAAGGAATTCCTCTTCTCATCACTCGAATGCAACTAAAAGAGAGATTTTTATGTACTCAGTATATATGATGAAACGAGAGAAAAGTCTGTAATAAATTCTGATAATTATGTTATACGGAGAAATAACATATATGTATGTGAAAATTTGGCACTGTCATGAAAGTGCTAGGAAAACTAAACTATTTGATAGAATTAGACGATCAGCGCTCATGGAATATGCAAACGCAGATGTCACGTAGATCAACATGAAAGCATAGGAAGTGAATAGGAAACCATATATAGTGCGGAAGCACTAAACACGAGTCACACGTAGCTAAATCAGAGGGGCCTGATGATGCTGCATCTACTTCACTCGAGTGTCGTTATTCAAGATAAATTCCTAAATCACCTGAGAACTTTCCCTATTCTGCTTTTAAGTAAATTGTACTTATATATATATGCATATATTTATTGCCCACAAGTCATAAAATAGGCGTGGGCAGCTTTTATATGTGGCAATGCTTAACAATGAATTATCTGTTGGCTATCCTACTATATTAACCCTTTGCACCCGAACGGCTCCTCTCGAGCGCCATCCTATTCATTACTGCATCTCGAACGGCGCCCGGGAGGCGCCATTACTATTTTTGATAATATTGTACGTTAAATAGTGCACGCGTTGTAAATTTTATTACTTGGTGCGAGATTAGTTCGGTATATATCAGATGGTGGACACTTAGATCATTCAGTCTGAACACTATAAAAAAATCGTGGCCAAATTTTTGATGCTCTGTTAAGTGAAAACACTGGTAAGTAAAATCGAAAAACCTACTACCTACTACTCCATACTAAAAATGGTTCAGGTACAAAGGGTTAAAGAAGTAAACATCAGAGAGTCTTAATAAAATAATTAAATAAAGTAACATTGTTACGGAAATCCCAAATCCGGTTATTTCCAATTAATTGATTTTCCCAGAAAATAAATTTCCGAGAGAAGAAAAAAACCAAGTATAAATTTGCGGCGCATCATGCAGCTGCCGGCCTGTGGAAAAAGATTAGCGGAAAAGTGTATTAACGGATTAAAAATGCAACCAGGAACTTGGATAATAGTAACATGCTTGTAAAAATGTACATAAATAGAATACTTACGAAAGGCAGAGTCAGTCGGCCAAAAACATTTGAGTTGAAAGGAATGCTGTAACACTATCCTTAACTAATCCTATCACTGAACTAATTGATTGTAGCTAAAGGAATCTTGGAATGAAAACGTGCAAGTGCATTCTTCTTAAAACGAGTATTCACGATTCGAAGTAGCGATCCGAATCGTATCGAGAAAAGCGAATTTCGTAACAACATGTATATGTCGAATATAACATGTATCATATCCGACTGCTAGTTAGCTAGAAAGAATGTGTTGTGTAATTCATAGGGATCCGTCTGAGTAGCTGAAGGCGAGGAATCTCGACTAGCAAGTCAATGGTCGTGGGTTCGAATCTCAAGTGTGGTAGAGTTTTTAATAAAAGCCGATAGCTCTAGATGCTAGTGCTTTTAAGAGTTTATTTAGTCTTAGAATTTATTTCTCTGGCGAAATTAATAATAATTCATAGGGAAAGTTTACGTCGCATTACTTTTATTTGATCTTTTGATAATTGCCTGTAGATTACTCATTCAATTTAGCTGATTCCAAAAGTTGAGGCCGGTAAAATATAGGAATATTGAAAATTAAATGAAGTTGTTTTGGATAAAGTGCTAAGAGCGTAAAGTTTTAAAAAAAGGTTATATTTGTCGCATGTTTTCCAACTATGGATGATTTATTTTAGAGTTGAATACTGGACTTTATCAACAGTAAATGACTTGATTAAGTTTCTTTATTTTCAATAAGTATCTAAGTAGGCCGATAGACTGACAGGCATAAAAGTGTAGACTAAATCGATCATAGCTAAATCAATTATCGCTATACTAACAAAAATTTTAATGTATTTTAACACTGGTGTCTATTATAGTTATTGAGCAATTCCGGCAAAAGAGCGGAAAGCAATGTTACACATAGATGGCTACACGGTGGCAGGTGATCAGATGGATAGACGGGCATGCTCAAATCGATTCGGAATTTAATGCTGATCAAGAAACCTTTTTCTGGCCGTTGTTAACGTTTTAACCTCACCATTCCTTGGTGATGGGTATAAAAATCAAAAACGCGAAAACCTACTAAATGAAATTTCGAAAAAACACGGAAACGGAAAGCTCGATCTACTCATTAGTTTTTATTTAGATCATCCCACAAAGGACGGTGTTGTTCTTCATGAATTGCCAAGAGGCAATAAAAGGAACACTTTACAGAACAACACATTACACAATGTTTAGCGACTCTATAACGGTCCGAAAGTGTTTAATTGCCTGAACGTTTCTAAAGCCTGAAATTTCACGCGATAATTTGTTCCGCAACATTCCTAATTATATCGGTACAAAATCATTAATTAGCATTTTGTCTGACAAGTACGATTTATCAAAACGCTAAAGCATCAGAAATCTTTTTTAATTACGTCAGTAACTGGTATTTATTTTCGATTTCTTTTCAATTTTACTTTTATTAGACGAATCTATATTTATTCTTGTTCTCGTTGGCATTCTTGTTCTTGATATGATTTGCTTGCATATTCTTTCTATACAATGCGTACTCTGTCAGGGGTCCTGTTAACTAACATGGAATGCTTGTACTGTTCTAAAAAAATGCATCGGAAAAATTTGTTGCCTCGCACATGACATGTTTGCTGCTCTTAAAAGTTTTTTACCCAAATCAAAACGATTTCTCCGAACTATGTTAGGAATTAACAGCCCGGTCGAGCAAATTCGAAAAGTTTGAGTTCGAAAAAATTCTTCCCTTTCAACTAACATTCCTGCCAATTATTTGCTATTCTCTATCTATAAAATTAATGGATCTCATCTCTTCCATTGCGGAAGCAATTCTGGGATCAAAACTTTTCAGTCAATTTAAACCTCACGCTTCTACGGCTTTTTGCTATCATTTACCTCTTCCAATCAAAGTAGAAAAATTGAAAAATCGTTTTCTGACTACAAGGTGTGCTTTTTAAAGCATTTATCGGGAAGAGGAAGCAACCAAATGACAAGCTTCCTAATGAAAAACTGAATCTTTTCCTTCACCTTTTTTTTATCGTTTATTGAAAAGTTTGTGGATTTAAACTTCAATCTCACCTTAGCCGCATAAATTGCTAATCTTCAGTATTAGCTTCCATTGAAACTTGCCTGGAGTCAGAAATTCACAATTCTGACGCATACTGTGTCTTGTACTACATTTGGTGCAGGACGGACTTTGGCTGCTGGTGGACTTTTCGGAGCAGACATATGTGATGTTGACGAAGGGACCATCGTATTATGATCTCTCGGTCGGAGAAGGAATTAATATCAAAACGCTTCAAAAAGGATCGCATTATTGAAAAAGCAACGCGAAGTCACGAAGTTTTTCCGAAGGCAATGCTCCATCACATACGTAAAGGCGGTATAATTAAAGCACCCACTTAAGAGAGACTAGGCCGTACGGCCAAATCAGAAGACTTTGCTTCCACCGATTATCATTTTTTGCATCAATGGTGTTCACTTTTGCCGATTTGAAAAAATTGCTCGATAAACGGCAGGCTGTCACTGCAAGATATGTGTAATTAGCGTTGGGACAAACTTTGCACAAACCTACTTTTTTTATCATTCTTCTGAACTTAATGTGTTCCTTCTGGATAAAAAGTACTAATTAGTATTTGCTTTATCGAATAAAATGCATACAATATATCCGGACATGTTGTATACTATAGCATCATGCATTTCCTATTAAGGGCATTGCTGCTAACAATGCTTATTGTTGACTGAGCAGCGCGCTTGATTAAAATTGTTCGGATTACTTATGCAACCGTTTCATTCATACATTTGAGAAAGAAAGCTATTTCAGTACCTTCGGTATTTTATATGTTGTAATTAGTATTTTAATAAATAGGTAAAGTAGACATTTTTTAAGCTAATTATTATTAGTAAAGTGTTCTCCTTTCCAATCTGTATATATAAATAAACCGTGCAATAATAGAAACTTAATCGCATTCTTCACACGTTAAATGGCCATATTTTATATCTTTACAGTATTGGTGTTCTGCTTCTTTCTTATTTGCCCCATTTTATTTCGATATTCTATTTCAAACTCTCAGCCCAGTTGGATACTGTTCTTAGGTGAAATTTGTTAAATTAATTTTTTGTTTTTTCATTTTAATAAGGAAAAGCAAAGCAAGAAATAAAAAAATCAAAAGAAAATTTTTTTAACTTTCAACTCGATATCGTTACAGGGTATATATATAAAATTGGACATAGGCGAAAATCGTAACATAGTTAATTATGGCAAAGGGTAGTCTACATATCCTACTTTTACTAGTTTTGCTTATCATATTAATACCGCTGGTGACATGCAGTCCATCAGAAAAAGAATTAAGTAAGCAAATTAATAATGCGCCCGTTATTAAAGGTAAACGAGTACCTAATACACCCAAAGATAGTTCGAAAACGTATCGTAACGCTCGTATTGTTAGTAATAAATTGGTATCACATCCAGCAAATCGCCGCACAATAAAAAACCGATTGCATAAACTTCTTAAGAAAGCGCCAATGGGCCTGCTGAAAGGCTTCTGAAAGGACTCTAGAATATGTTGAACTCGACGAATCCTCATTTATAACCTTATTCAAATGGAATAATCTTTCTTTCCCAGAGGAGCCCATATACAGGAATATTATTCCCTAACAACAAAATGCTGAATTTTTCAAGTTCTTCTTTCATTCTTCTATTATAAAACAAGCAATAAAAATAGTTTAATAACGAAAACTAATTGTCTTAGACACGGTCTGCAGAAGAAGAATGTTTACAGTTACATATGTTTCATCGGGTCTTACGCTCACATACATCAAAAACGCTTTCGTATAAAACGTTCATTTCCCGATTCACGTCCCAATTGGGAAAGTGCGGCTAATTGGAATTCGCAGCAAACGGGGCTTCCTGCATAATATGATTATGGGCTACTTTTCAATTTATGGCCATTAACTTTTCAAACGGCAGTGATCGCCGTTAACCGTTCAACTGAACTCAAATTGAAATTGAATCATATTTGCACGGTGCGTTAACTTTTGTAACTTGTAACTATTTTGGATGACGACAGTGTGAATGCATATGGAATGCGAAGTAGAGCCGGGTAATAATTGAATCACGACTGAAGCACCGAAACATTTGGACGGATCACGTTGATCTGTTACTCGAAGATTGGTACCCTTTTGTAGGCCCATGTTTTACACATACAGACTCGATTCCCAATTACTCGTTTAGTTATGCATCTGTAACAAATATGTTTGAGATCAAATTTTAAATCAAATAAAACGATTAATATCGTTACGGAAATCCCACATTTTACAATTCTAGTTCATTCGAAAATAAATTTCCGAGAGACCGGAATACCCAGTGCCCATTCATATCACAGCATGCAGCTGCCGGCTGACGACAAAGATCAACAAAGAGAAGGAAAAACCAAGTGCATAATCATGACGCGTCATGCGGCTGCCGGCCGACGAAAAAGATTAGCAACGGTTAGCGGAAAGCACATTAATTATGATAAACAGAGAGTGTATGAGCAGAATATTTGAGCAGTCAGTTGAGTCAGACGAAAAAGAAAATTTAAAACGAGAGTCAAGTATTGCAAGAGTATATATGTAAATGCGAAAGTCATTTTCTACAAAACTAGTTATAAATAAAAGCACGATCTAGTAATAGGAACCTATTATTCCGATATATTGACATATATATATTTAATAATCCAACATGTCGAACTGTGAACGTTTTTGGTAATGATGATGTTACCGTTACTCGTAGTTTGGTTTGTGTAACGAGTTTGTCAGAAAAGCCTGCGGTGTAGTCATTTGATGATATTAGGGGCGGAGGTGGTTGAAATATTTTCTTCGCATATAAAGTGTCGTAAGCCCATTTGCGAAAAAATTATATTAAATAAGTTTTTAAAATTTTAATTTTGGCTTACTTTAGCAAAATTATATCAGACCTGTAGCTTACAATTGGATGTTTTTTCTGACTAGAGCTTTTCTTCACGCTAACTGAAAGGTCGCTTGCCATCTTTTTTTTGTAGATTTTTTATATTCATTTGATGATAATTCTGGTATAGGATAGGTATAGGATTCGGCTACGGCCGTATACTTATGACAATCCACAATTATCAACAAGGTAGAAATTGCTTTATTTCCTTCCAAATTATGTTCACGAAAATGTAAAACTTTAACTGTACAAATTCTAGTTAACTTTTAATTTCCTTCAATTTTAGTTTAAAAAAAAAATATATTTTTGCAAAAAGATCTACCAAAAGCTAACTACAAAATTGGTTAAAGTAAGCTTATGATAGAAATTCCATCATGTGGTAATTCGCACAGACAGACAGATTGCGTGCGAGTAGAGCATTGGTGCACGCGTAATGTGAGGAAAATGTATTTTTTATAATAACTGATATCGTCCTATGAAAATAAACAAAAGCTGTTGCTGTAGAAGCAGAAGATAAAGTAGTAGTAGGACTAGTAGGAATAGTAGTAGCTTCTAAATGTTTGGTTGCTAACGTCGTCAGTACGTATCGTATACCGTATAAGGAGGAAATACCGAAATGTCTGGAGGTTTTTTTCATTAATAAAACCAATGCCAATAAATACTAAAACAAATGAATCATTCTTGACATGTCTTAGCATTTCATTCGTGATGATCGGGAAAAACATAACAAAATTAAATTAAAAAACTTTTATACTCAGTTAAAACAAAAAAAAAAAAAAAAAAAAAAAGAAGAAAAAAAATTTTTGTATATGTTGTTTTCATTTGTTTATCTTTCTTTAATAAGTTTTACTTAATAATGAAAAGTTTTAAGGCACCAGACATGAGATGTTTACTTTTTCACCGAACTATTGCATAATTTATACCTAAATATAAATAAAATTAATAATAAATAATAAAATCTTACAAAAATCTGCTTAAGCGAGGGTATATAGTTTTGTCTAGGAGAACGTAACAAATTTAACTTGGTGGTTCATGTTGTTAATTTAAAGCTGCTTATGGCTGATATGATTGTTGGAATTGGGATTTGTATTGTTGTTGTTATTCGCATTAGCTGTACCAGTACGTCGGTTTTTTTCCAAAATAAGAGCTCGTCTGCAAGCATATAAAGCGATTATTGTACGTAATTTCTTAAAATTTAGAAATTTTATGCAACAAACCTGTAACGCTCGTAGAAGCCAACAATAGTGCCCAATTCCTGTTTAAATAAACGCACTAGCATGCCATCGAAACACTCCAGCTCTTGTAAGCTGAACATATTAAATTGTAACATGTGATCCTTTGAAGAGTCTGCTTCCGAATAAACCACCAACCATTTTGGTATCTCTTCGAGTAAGTAGGGATTGGCAGGAACCAAGGCATTATGTGTATGTGTAGGCGGTGTATAGGTTTCGGGCCGTATAGCTTTTGGTGGTTCAGCTTGTGTAGTGTAAACATAGTACGAGGTCAAACATGGATGCTGACGTTGACATTGGCCGGTATATTGATTTTCATAATACGTCCCATGAACTTTTGAAACAACACGCCGCCAACCCACCGGTAAACCCTCCCGTTCCAAGGGATGCGACCAATGAGTGGTATGAGCATTATGATCAACATAATATTTGCGACCATGGAGAGTGTAGTGTGTTGCCCAACCGGGCGGCAAGGGCAATTCCTCTTCTAGTGACTGTTGAGAAGGCACTTTATGCAGCTGACCACTGGATGCTACGGCCTTATTAGTATTCATGTTGCCGTTATTATTATTGGCATGGGAAGATGAATGATTCTGATACAAAGATTGCATGGAAGAGGAAGAATTCGTTTGACCATGAGGCACTTTTGAATTTGACTGAGCAGCGAGATCATATGAGTGTATATGAGTGTTGTTATTATTATTATTATTACTGGCCATTGAAGTGGTATTACTGTAAATAGGTGATTCGGAGCGATTACCATATGTGGAGACAGAAGCTTGACTTTCAGCCATTCTTAATGTAGACGGAGCGAGTGTGTTAGATACTCGATAAGGGCTTTCGTAAATTGGATACGAATCCGGTGCATAACTATTAGTTTGCTGTATGTTATAATGGCTTGAAGACGGTGGGGTTTTGGGACGAGATATTCCCCTTGGATATTGCATAAAATTCGTCTGAAGACAATCTAGACGATCTCTTTGCATGTTAGCATGCCCATCATAGGAATTTCCGTGTTTTTGATTGGTAGAATAGCTTCGCTGGAAATAAGTGGACTGAGAATGCTGTAAAGGAGAACTTTGCTGACGTCTCATACGGTCGATTTGTTCGATATTCACATAATTGCTATGATTACTACTTAGATGAATGCTCCCGCCCGACATATCCAAGTTACTATTGGAAAAATATGTATGCAAATTATGTGTTGATGCTACGGGTGGTGGGGGCTGATAAAAATTTGTACGCCGCGTTGGTTGAATAGTTTGCGGAGCAGGTGGTGTCGATCGAATTGTACTACTTGATGGTGGCAATTGCGATTTAGCTCTACGTGCGTGATAATAATCCGGCTGATTATCAATATACGTGTTTCTACTAACACTGCCAGAACGGCCACGGCCTGCATTACCTCCAATACCATCGCAGCTAGGTGAAATAAATTTTTTTGGCAGTGCTAACACTACAGCTGGAATAAACATTATATTTTAAAACAGAAATTATTACAATAAAAAAGATATATAAATTTCTGGTTGTTCATCTTTTGCTTTATTATGCATAAGCACGCTTTTCTATATATGTTCTATTTCTACATGTCGTGCAGTTTATCATTGAAAATAAACCTACATGCAACCAAATGGTTGCTTTCGTATTGAAAACAAACCTACACGCAACCGAATGGTTGGAAATGAAAAAGATGATAATAGTTGGTTGCATTTAGCACAGCAATAATACATAATAATACAAAAGATAGATATTTTTATAGTTATAAAAAATACAACGTATGGTTTAATGTTTATCTATATGGGACGAGAGCGGCGAAAAAATTGTTTGCCTACTAGTCCTTTTTTCTCGTTTTTTATTAGTCTCGAATTTTAAAAGAATATAATACAAAATCCCTTCATTAATAGACAACGGACCTCATTTCTGACACTAACAAAAACGGACCTCATTTCTCACACCTTAACAGAATCGAAGCGTTGCAATTTATTGAAAGCAACTCTGTGCTCTCTCCATTCTCCACACATGATATATTTTTTTTTGGCCTAAGTTCAACAATATTCGGACACAACATTCAAAACTTCACAAATATGATTATCTCGAAGCATTTATTTGTAAAGATATGAAAGATTCAAAGATTTTTGATACATTATTAGTATTAATATACAAACCATTTGAGGCACTAGCGCAGCGTTGCAAAGTCTTTGATTTTTGCTTGGTTCGATGATCATCAAATGACCAAACGTTGATTACCGGTATTTCAGGTGGTGTATCCTTTTTCACATATTTACCCACTACGCCCTCCTTGTGCGTATTTGATTTTTCTTTGCTCCGACGCGTGAGCATGGTCGTCGGTTTACGATTGCACAGCAATATTGTTAAGTAGTTCATGCAACAACCAAAGTGTCGCAATTGTTAAGGCCGGCTTGCCGATTATAACAAAAAATATAATAATTGTTCTCTTTCAGGGTTTATAAGAGTGTCAATCTCAATACTCAAAATTTAACAAAGAAAACAAAAAGATCTAGAATTTGCTTACTCATGAAGCTGATGAAAAAATAGCTCAAATCAACTTCTTCGAAAACCATTAAAAAATATAAGAGACTAATAATAAAAAAATAAAGGCAATAAAACGCCTTTGATGTTGCAAATCAAATTAAATAAAATTAATCACCTCTCTAAGAATTTCAGAAAACACAACTAAAACGTACTACCGACAAACAGCTGTTTAGTTGTTTATAAAGAAAAAAATTGGCTGTTACCGAATGCTGCTAAGATGTAAAAGCTAAAAAAAACTTGGCAGCATTCTACATATTATAATTGCCGCAATCTCTCTTGGCGCATTAATTAGTCCAACAAAAACTTTGTTACATCAATTTTTATTAAATATTGTGACTTTCAGAAAAGGTCTAAACAGTACTAACCCATGAGCTATTTAGCTTTTAAAAGTATTGAATGAGTAGTCACAAATTTTTATATCTTATAATTAAGCTCCTTGCATTTGAAATGCTTAATGCTCTTTGGCATGCTCAGCCCGAGCAGCCTCTTGTTCTTTCGATACGTAACCAACTTGTTCCTCAGGATTATGAGGCCAGAAAGTAGGTCGATTAGCACTATCCAAAGCTAAATCAGGGAATGAGTCGCGATAATCTTCCATAGTCATTTGATTATATGGCAACAGAGAATTCAGATGAGCGATCTCCTTTTTGTATTGGGCAATGCGTTGCTCAGAACTTTTTTTAAACGACTCGACTTCAGCTTTGGCTTCTTTAGCTTGAGTTTCTACCTGAGAAGTAACATTATCTGGTGGGTAGGGCACTTTCAAAGCTTCGTAATGTTTCTGGAAAGTATCTACCAAACCGGGAATAGGAATTAGATTCTTATAATGAGCCCAATCAATTTTTGGTGCTGTTTCGGGGTTAGACATGACGGCACGCATATAAACATCCGATTTGATTTTAAAGGCAGCAAACTGAGCTTTTTGATTTGGTGGCACACGTTCAGCCAAAGCCGACCAATTAATAGAAGATTTAGCAATACGACGTGCAGCCATCTTCAACAGCAATTATCAAACAGAATCTGAAAATTGAGAAAATTAAGTTATGCAATTGGAAAAGGATCCTGTCTAAATTTTTAGCAAAAATAAAATTGAAGAAAAGGAAAGAGTTTTATCTTCTCTTAGATTTTTCACAAGTTAGTATTAGCGTCATAAATTCAATTTTTAAATTTACGGAAGGCTTTAAAAGCAAAGAATTATGTAATTTTTTTGCAAGGTACTTGCTCGTACACAATAAGAATATTCCGTTTTTTTTTGTATCATCTATTAATCACTTTTTAAAAACCTTAAAATATTAAAGATTTTGCAAAACAATATATAAAGATTTCATAAATAACAAAATTATTGTATTTCCACATATATATAATAAAAACACCAGAAAATTACCGAAGAAAATTTCCTTGCTCAATCGCTATTCGCAAAAAACAACACAAGACAATTCAGCAAACTGTCAAACGTTTTTATAAGCAAAGACGAAATGTGTTGCACAGAAAGTTATCATTGTGTTTATCGGGACACGGCAGTACTTTTCAGCTAGAGGAAAAAAAAAACGTGTGTTATCGAAAAAGCAGCTGTTTCTGTTGGAATCATAACTAAAGTCGACTTTAATAGGAATTAAAAGAGAATGTTACTAAAATATATTTTACCTGGAATTTCGCATCATTTGCGACAAACGTTAACTAATAATTATAGAAAAGGCAAGTTTGAACGTATTAAGCTTATTTATTATTATCCTTTCTTTGTATCAAGTAAACGTTCTATCTATGTTAATTCTATTGAGTAAAGATTCTATCTGTCTTTTAAATCATTATTATCGAAGTAGAGATTATAGTCTCATTATTATTCTCATCATTTATCATATAGTATCGTCTTCATCAGCATCGGTAACAAGGTTACATCGAGCCGTTTATACCCGGCAATATCCGCTTGTTATGATTTTACCTGACGGCTCGAGTATCAACGTACGTTACCCCGAACCTCGAAAAATTGTAAAGGTACGTATATTGAAAACAATTAAATGGCTGTAGAAAATAAATAACGATTTAATTTATGTTTTTAGCTTCCTTTGGATTTAAGTACGTTGTCCGAGACTGAGCGTAAAGCTCGTTTGGACGCCCGTAAACCACGTAAAAAATTGAAAGTTGTCGATGAAATTGAAGATAATTTCAATGCAAGAAAATATATGAAATATATTAAAAAGAAATAGAGGACAATGTTAAAATAAATAGAAAAGTGGTTACTAAATTTTATACCTAAAACGCTTGAATAATGGAATTCTTTAGTTGAAAGTAAGTTGAGCAACTCCATATTATTCATAGTGGATATCCATAATCAGCCAAAATTAACATAAATTTTCTGAAATGACAACTTAATAAATTAAATGAAAACTGCAAATTAATTGCAGCCAACTAATACGAAGAACTTTAAATTTTCAATGTTTAGTGAAATAAAGCACACATAAATATATTTTCCTTTAAAAGTTATTTGCCATGTAGCTGTAGATGTAGTTGATTGCAAATTGTTCATAGTTTGCCGTAGTTCACGTCAAATTCTTGTCACTATGAACTGTTATTTACAATTCTTTCCACACCATATATTATTGTCTACGAAAATATTTTTAATGAACTATAATTAATAAATGTAGAAAAATTTGAACGCATATTCAAACTAGATTTTTATCTATTGTCATATAATCTACAATAAAATTCGAATAATATTTATCTATATTATCTAATATATGAAAATACCCAAAGTAGACATTTTGTATCCCCACTTTATACAATTTTTGATTTCGCATGTTAAAACAGGAATGAATTCTTCGGTATGGTAAGACTAGTCGTAGAGAATTTTACTTAATCTTTAGTTCATTTTCTGCCATTGTACAGCAAAGTAAATTTTACTCTGAGAAATGAATTTTATTCTCAGGTGAAGCTAAAAAGTCTTCTCCAGGGCATCCATAAGATATGTACAGCAAAGTTAATTTTGGTTTTAAATTAATTTCTTGAATAAATGTTTAAGCGGGCGCGTCGCTTACGATTTTTCCGAATTTTTGCAAAAAAGACGAAAATTTCTTTTGTGTATCTGTGCTTTTGTGTATGAATTACAGAAATTGTTTTAAGAATTATCAATGAAATCAAACCCGAAATCAATAAATTTTTAAAGTTAACAATTTTAAGAAAATAACGAAATAATGTGCGAAACTAACATAGTTAAAAAAGTGCATAAAATAATGCAGAGGATGGATTAGCTGTACAACAATGTCTACCAAAATTTACCGCAACCAGACGTTGTATGCAATGGTGCAAAACTATTAAATAAAATTTTTGCCAATACGTGATACAGTAATAAATGAAGGCAAATATAAATTGTTACGTTTTTCTTATGCATTCACTTGCGCGGATTCTAACATAAAGTATGAAAATTATTTTCACTTATTTTATAATTAAAAAAATACATTTTTCATCAAGCTATTGCTGTTTCTTACTTTTTATTTTCTTTGATTTTTTTTTCATGGTGGCATTTTTTTTTTTTTTTGTTTTGTTGTACCACAAATTTCTTGTGTTGCTTATGCAGTGTGTTCGCTTTATTTCTTTTTCTTATTGCATATTTTCATATCTGTTTTATTGTATTTTCTTAAACTAAACCGTTGTTTTGAGTACTACACTCTCTTGCAATAAAAACGGCAACAACAATGAAAGCATTAATAACAACAACTTCAGTTGCGTTAACGGTTATAGCGTGCAAATTAATTTTGCAAAAAAAAGGAAAAAAAAAAAATAAAAATAATTTTATAATTATTTATCCATTTACTTTATTCTTTGCGTTAAAGTGAAAAAAATGTACAAGAATCTCTTCTTTTTCCTGAACTTGGTTGTTGTTCTTTACGTATTTATTATTTTCCTTACCGCTTGGTTAAACCACTGAGCAGAGTTGTGATACCTTTGCTTAAGCGTCTGGGAAAATTTTTAAAATATCTTATTCGGAGGTATTTGTAAGTGTTTGTTAAAGTTAATAAGTTACTGTACGGGAAAAGAAATTGCTTTGCTATAAATGCTTTAGTTCATGTATCGCTCCAGGAAGTCTTTACCGAAACTTAAGATAAAATAAATCTCTATTTCAATGTGTTGTTTCGTATATTCGATGCAGCATCATAGTGCGACAGAGAGCGTGGCAAAGTCCCAAATCTTGAAGTGCTACACGAATAATCGAATTTTTTGCAATTAGGAAAATATTTTGAAAAAAGTTTAAACTAAACTTTTAGCTTTAATGTTTAATGTTTAAAAGTCCAAAGTTGGACGTAAGAGGAATGCAATTTATTTTTTAAATTTATTCCGATAAAAGGAAATGACATCCTATACTATAAGCAGAAATATTAACTTTATTCCAAACAGATCTTCGAACTTCCCCATACCATAGGGTTTCAATGTCACATGATCGAAAGGATGCATGTATATCCTCTACTTTTAATACAGCTGTACGAGGATGATTCCTCAAAATCGAAATCCACCTTATTCTGTGATCGTTGAAAGCAATCTCCTTACGGAAAATTACTCTTTATTTTTTCTCGTAAACTAAAATAATATAGATATTTTTGTCTTTAGGTGAATTATGAACATAGCTGGTCATTTTTGAACGATGTTTGTCTCAGCAGTTTTAAAGGAATGTTGAGATTAAGTGAACTAGTCCAATGAGAAATATAGCTTATATGTCCATGATAATAATAGAATAGGATATATACAAAATTATATGATTTTGTAAGATATATATAAGATTACGAAAAGACTGCCATTATATGTTGAGGGCAACATGTCAAGCGTATTAGTAGACTATAAAGGTTTATATAGTGACGTTAGAATAAATTTGCAATGGGATTACTTTAGAGATAAATTTTATGAAAAGTAAAATTAAAAGGAAAAATAAGTCTTCTAATCAAGTAGGTACAGGTTTCCCACGATTTATGTAAGTTTTAATATGAAGCGAGTTATTTCTATTTCATCCTAAGCTTGCAATCACGACAATCTTTGAGCATTAAATATCTGGTTAATTTTTTGCTATTTAATTAAAGCTTCAGTATTCTTTTCTTTCAAGCTTTTCCATGTCAATGCAACTTTACCGAGGAAGGTATCGTAATAGCTTTGATTATTGATATATTGTATCGAGTTGAAAATTTACAAGTCTTATCTTATAAGTATTTACTATCTCTTGACTTATCTCACAGAAGATTAACGGACCGATCGATCAGCGAATGCGGTAAAATTGTCTTAGCTACTTTAGTTGACCCGAAATATATTTAATTAGGAAATATGTTATCGGACTAAAGGTGTTACAAAGAAACACCGTAAAACAATCAATGTCTTGCAAGTCTGACACTTAGCTAAACGTTCATCAATTAATTTTGGATGAGAATCAAACATTAAACAATAGATTTTTTAAAATAAATTAATTAATTATTTGGGGGGTAATTATCGCACTTATAAAAATGATGGGTCATTTTATAGCAAATCCTTAGATGGGCGTGTTTCCGTTATAAGCCAATTGTGAAACCATTTGGCAAAGCAATATACTTGTGCTACTGCCGATTATTTGGCTATGCAAACATTAAAAATCATAAATCGGCCTTTCCTGATATTGAATTCCTTGTCCGATCGTTACAAATTGAAATTTCTCATGTAAATGTCGCAGTGTACGAGCAGGGATGAGTTTATGGATAAAAATGAAATTTCTTATATTAAAGCATATCGAATAACCAGAGTTTGTGATATTCTGTCGCGTCTTCCTTTGCTGAAAACATAACTAGCACACTTTTTGACAAAGGACAGTAATTTGCCAATGGAAACATAGCCCCGTTTATCATACATATGCAGGCGACATACGATATGAGTGGCACAACCAAACATTTAATCAGTCTCAATTTAGCTTAAGCTGGAACGTATGATGAGGAGATCTATAGCCTACGCAAAGTGTTATGTATGCACATTGTCATAATCAGTTTGGAAATTTGAGTTCGTTAGCACGCCCTCACAAACTCGGTTTTTCAGCCTGACATTTTAACATTTAGTAGTAGATTAGAATCACGAGATATAAAAGATATAACAATAGCTATGCTTGTAGTTGAATTTAACTTTAAGTGATTAACAGTTGACCAAAGGATAATGTGAAATACAAGCCTTCATTAATTTGCTTAATCAAATCCTCTACAGGCGTGGGCATGAGAGGAAGTTCTTCGCATCAGCAGCGTATAAATGTAATTTGTTTTTATAGGTGCCAATAAAGGGTCCTGCAAGTCACAATTTTTTATAGCAAGATAAGTATGAACTCGAATGCCGGAACCGTTTTTTATTTTTAATTTTTTTTTCATTAGGACTCGCGTATGCTTCGTCAAGAATTTAATTTCGCTTTAAAGTAATAAAAGTGAAAGGAGTTTTTTTCTTCTATGATCAAGAAGATCAATCAAATGTCGTGCATATTAATGTTCTACTACGAAAGATATCTATTAGACGTTTGCTATGGAGTTGTATTTAGTATCAATATATTTAGCATAGTTTAAAATGTATTGCGCTGATTGCAACAGATGAAGACTAGCATTAGCTGGTCACAAACCTTTATTCCTCTTAACATACTCGAGTAACTGAAATAAATATATGAATAACTATGCTTGTCAAGAGAAGCTCAACATTTACCCGCATGCATAAGTATGTATTTACATAGATACCACTAAACACTAACCACTAGTTTTTGATTTTTGCTCCTAATTGTAGAAAGAAAAACAATTTATTATCTGCGATACCGAATAAGTTTTCTTTTTTTTTTTTCTAATACATATATCAAATATATATATATTTTTGCATATATTCCGGATATTAAAAAATATCTCATTCAACAAATACTTGAATAAAAGTAAAAAAAATTATTGCAAGGGTAATCATAGGTATTTTTCTATATATTTAGGAAAAAAAAAAAAAAAAAAAAAACAAGAAAAACTACACAGCCCACTATTAAATGCTCTACACCATATTACTGTTACCCATATATCGACTTTTCAGTATAAGGCATTATATGGGAAGAAGTCGAAACAGTGGTCCGGTCCGAATGGCTCCGTGGTATAGGGTATAAAAAAATTAAAAGGAATTGGAAAACAGCTTATTCTAAGGGAAACACAAATAATACATAGGGGAAAAATAATGATTTGAGATAATAAGTTAGAAGTTGGAAGAAATTCATTGCAAGTGTCCGTTATTTCGGGCTAATTATCATTGAAAGAATATTTTTACGAAAATTTCGGTTTAGTACTTTTTTTAAGTTGATATATAGTTTTTGGTGGATAAGCAACAAAAACTCTTTTAGAATTACTCATGATTATCGCAAACGCCCTCTCCGTGAAGTTTTATAACTTATGCTTCTATTCTAACAAAAATGTGTTTGTTTTCTATTTTTTTTTTCTTTTTAAGGCAATTAAAAAACAGCTTTATCGTATGAACACGAAAATTTATGGCTACGAAATAACAGTAAAAGTAAAGACGTATTTAAAAGTATTTTCATTTTGCGTAATATTTGATTGCTTCCCTAACACCTGCACAGCTTGTTAACTATAGCTCTC